TAATATGAAAAACTTCTTGTAGATTATATGTCAATACATCTGAGAAATAAATGCAAATTTCATTTATCCCAATTCATTGCTTTCTCCTGGGAAATTTCAGTGGTTTTTCTCTGAAACTCAGTTTTGTCATTTGTAAAATGAGTGTAATAAATATATCTGCTTAGGTATTTTATTTAAAGGTGCATCCAGGACTTCCTTTGACAGCTGACAGAAACCACTGGAGGCAACTTTCTTCAGCTATTCTGGATAAAATATAATTTTTTCCATGTATAACCTACCATAAAAGTAGAAGAACCCACTCTTCAGTGCTAAAAATTAAAAAGTCAACATTTACAATGAGAGATGACTTGAAGCTCATCAAAATCACAATGGTATTGGAACAGGGAATAGAATTTAGAAAATTTCACTTTGTATCTGTGTGTGAAAATGAGAGAAGGAGCAGAAAAAAACAATTGTGTTACTTGTTATTATTTGGTTCAATGTAACAGTTTAACGTATGAAGGAATATTTTACTCTAACTCAAATTGGACATTCAATTTAATTGGATTTGCTCCATCATTTTCATGTTTCAATATTTTGATACTACATTTCTTGTACAAAACTATATTTTCATGCCTGAAACAATTAAGATGTTATGATATATGTGATTTCCATCTATATTTACAAATAAGACAAGGTTGTATTATTATTTCTGTCATCATTCTCAGAGCATTTTTAAGTACAACACATTTGCAAAATGATTTGCAGAAGTTTTACAGTTTTATCTTTTTCACATCAGTAATATGTACCACTTGGATAATCTGTTGTTTACAAGTTTAAAGAAATGTAATAGATTTCTGATAATGAGAGTGAAAGGCTGTGATTCACTTTTTAAGGGAATTCTTGACAGTGGTAGTAAGTGAAATATCTTCTATAAACTTTTAGAGCTGGAATTACTTGTGGAGCCTGCATTTAAACGTAACTGTAAATGATTTTAAATGTTGTGATTTTAACAAATAAGACCAATGAGTGAAAGCAGCTAATCTCAGAAAGAGCATAAGAAGTGTCATTTATATAATACAGGGACTAATTGAATTCATGAAATATTGATGGATGGAGAATTGCTTGTTAAAAACATGGAGGCAATCAGAAAACTGATATGGTACCCTAGGCCATTTTAAAAGAAATTTTAGGGCAATGAGAATGACAGAGAAGGGAAGAGAATGGCAGTCAAATGTAAGCACAATCTCTGATCTATATTTTGTTTATCATTGGGCTTTGGGAAACTATTAGTTGCTTAATCAATGTTTCATGGAAAAAAAATATATAAACCATTCACCTCCCTCCCTGGTAACAGAATGCTAAATAAAAATTTTTAGCTAATCTGCAGTTTCTGAGCATTTTTTAATTATAAAGCAGAATAAATTGACTATTGAAATACAGTAGGGTCAGACGTGAGAGATTAATACTTAACCTGAAAAGATACAGACAACCATGCATCTATTTCTACTAATTAATCCTTGTGTGTATGGGTATCCAGTAAAGAGTCACAAATCCCCAGCATACCACTGGGGTTTCAGGCTGACAAACACAATTTAATGAAAGTGTGCCTAGACATTGTGATAACATAGTCAGGGTCACTTGTTCCCAACTCAAGATATAAAAGAGTAATTCAGTTATGCAACCAATATTTGAAGTGAATGAATAAAAGAAATGAATGAAAGCAAACAAATAAATGTAATAAAATACTTTGAGATGACTTAACTTATTGCTTCTGATCCAAACCATGTCATTAACTCCTTAGTTGAGATAATTGACTCCTATCTGAGTGAGTTTGCGAAGAAATTAATACAATCTGTGAAGGCTAAATGTATAATGCGTACAAGTAAATACAACTCAAAAGGCCCAAAAGGAAAATATTGGGCTGAAATAAATAGATTTGGAAATTAAGATAAATATAGAAACATCTATTAAAAAATTTCTCTTAAATGCTAGTATAATTATTAATGATAATAGTTATTTTCCTTGGTCTTGAATATTAACAATACAATAATTGCACATGCATACATTCTGTTCAGCTTTTTGAGGTTATTTTTAGCTTGTTTATTTTATACTTTGGAACCTAAATAGGAAAGAATCAAACAAGGGTCTCTTCTCTAAAATGTATAAATGTTATAAAAATTGCCTTAAATTTAAGTTTTGTTTTGTTGTAAGCAACATAATCTGGCAACTTGCCAGAATTTCAAAAAAGAAGACCTAACCTCGTAAGAGAGAGGTTTAAGTGGAAGATAGTGAGTGATTCATGGAGGAAACAAAATGAATAAGATTTAAAGGATAAATAGGGAGAGAAAATAATACTAATAAGTAGTCAAAGTCATGTAGCACTCTGTAAATTAAATGCACCTTTCTGAAATACTAGAAGATGATGATGAGTTGTCGGCAATATGCTGAGATGTAGCCAGAGGCATGTAACCTATATCAAGGATTTTAGACTTTATTCTGAAGATACTATGAAATTGATAAATAGCAAAGAAAAGGAAGATACAATTTGAATTTCTGCCAGATTCCTATGGAAATAGTGTCTTATAATAAATAGGCAGGGAGTGATTTGGGGGAAAGCCTAGAAACAGGGAGATCCATTCAGAGACTATGGTAGAGAGGTGCTTATTGGCCTGCAGTAAGTGACTAGACAATGAAAAAGTACACACCTTGCAGTAGGAACATAATATACATTCTCTACCCACAGCAGAAAATAAGTTGCGAATGTTTAATAAATGCACCAATGTTTGAAGAAATTTTAAAGACAATGACATTACTTTAGAATGTTTGTAAAATGGATTGTTCTAAATGTGCCTTAAATATATTGTTATACTAAAATTAGCAAAATGTCAAATTATATGTTATTAAAAACAATGTTCACATGAGTGAAGAAAAGCTATTTTTAAAGAAACTATAGTATATGTGAGAAGTTTTGTGGAAGGAAGTAAACATTTGTCACTATTGATGGGAATGTAAGTCAATACAGTCATTATAAACCATTATATGGAGTTTGCTCAAAACATTTTATCATTTTTTTCTTTTTTCCCCACTTAACTTTTTAATGACATTGCACACCATAAAATAAATACCTTTAAAGTAAAATTTCAGTGGATTTTAGATATTCAAAAGTTGTATAACCCTCACTAACTCCAGAACTTTTTTTTTTCACAAAAAGAAACCTAGTATCTATTAGCGGTCGTTTCTCATTGTTTCTCCATTCAGCTATGAAAAAATCTCCATTTCTATGAATTCGCCTAGCCTGGATATTCCGTTTAAGTCAAGACATACAATCTGTGGTCATTCATGCCTCACTTTTACTTAGCATGTTTTGAAGGTAGGTTCAAATTATAAGTTGTGCAAGTATCTCACTCTTTCCATTGCTGATTAATGTCGCATTGGTTACCTATACCACATTTGTCATCCAATTGTCAATTGATGAACATTTGGATTGTTCACATTGGGCCACTGTGAACAACACTCTCATAAACACATATGCTTTTTATTAGCATCAACTAGATTTCATTTTCTAAATAATTTTAGTTTTGTAACACAAATGAATGGAACATACAGAGATTCCCCATGTTAATTTCTATCCCCATATATGCATAGCCTTTCTCATTATGACCACCCTCACAAGAGTGGTAAATTTTTTCCAAATGATTAAGCTACAATGACACATCATAATCATGCAAAGTCCAACATTTAAATTAGGATTCACTTTTGGCACTGTATATTCTATGTGTTAAAACAAATATATGACATTTATTCACCATATAAAATGTTTATTGTCCTAAAATTTCACTGTGTTCCATCTATTAATCTTCTCTTTCTTTCAACTGAACTTTTTATTGCCTCTGTAGTTTTGCCTTTCTCAGAACGTCATATAATTTAAATGTCTTATGTTTTAGAAACAAAAAGTTCAGATTGATTTTTTTCCTTAGCTCATTAAGAAGTCTTGTGTGAAAAGCTATAATAGTACATAAATATAATTGACAATGTGAAATAGGAAGAAAAGGGCTAAAGGTCAAGGGAAAGTGGGAAGGTTGGGGGATAGGTAATAAGGAAAAAGAAAAAAATATGACAAAATGAAAAAGTGGAAATAAAGTGTTTGTAAATGGGGAGGGTAGGAAGGGGTGAAGGGAGGGCAGGGACAAGGGGAAAAAATGAGAAGCTAGACCTGTCATGTAAAGGTACAAGATCCCAATGATGAATGTAACCGTACTGTATACCTAAAATATACCAATAAACTCAATGAGAGAGAGAGAGAGAAAAAAAAAAGAAGTCTGGAGACTTCTTCATACAAACTACGTACTTCACTACTGAACTACACCACCAGCCTCCCTCCATGTTATTTCATGACTTAATAGTCAATTTTTCTCTAATGCAGAATAGTATTTCATGCCACAGTTTACTTACCTACTTAAAGGCATACCGGTTGCTTCCAAGCTTTAGCGTTATGAATAAAACTGCTATAAACAATGTGCAGGATTTTGTGAGGACAGAAATTTTCAAGTCCTTTGCAAACAGTGAGTAGTGCTAATTTTGGATCATGTATTAAGCAAACACTTAATTTTTAAGTAACTCCCAAAATGTCCTCCAAAATGGCTGTACCACTTTCCATTCCCATGAACAATAAATAAGAATCCCTCCTGCTCCATGACCTCGGCAGAATTTAGTTTAGTTAGTGAACTGAGTTTTAGCCCTCCTTTCCCTACTTGAGGTGCACTGTAGGGGTGACGTACGGTGGCAGAACAAAACAAACACGAAGCTGAGCCATTAGAGCCCAGAACCCTGAGCGGGGTTGCCCGGCACAGAGCTCATTCTACACCAGTAGGTGGAGCAAGGCGAGCAGCTGCTCCCCACTGCACATGCGCAGGTGTGGCGCGAGTCTGAGGCCCTTCTGGGCCCATGGCGCGGTGAGAAGGCGGTGCTGGTGCTTGATGTGCACGTTAGCGGCCCTACCAGCCACAGAGAACCCCATCTCCTCTTGTCAGTGAAGCGTAGGTGTGGCAAAACTGGGTAAGTCTTTTAAAAGGGACACCTTAATCATCCTTTGGCCTTTGCTCCAAGTGTTCACCCGGAAGCCAGCCACCTCTGTCTCCTCTCGCCTATGTAATAAACGGGCTTCTTTCCAAACACTTTTTGCTCTTTCCACTGCCACACGCCCCACAGTCTCTGTCACCTTCATCTCGGTGGCTGCCTTTGAATACCAGCTCTGAGCCCTCGAATCCTAAACAAATAGCATACCGTGCGTGACCCAGGCTGCTGAACTCCTTGGCCCAACCCCCGCCCCCAACGCACAGGGTAAAAGACTCTCTAGTTCTACTTTTCTAGCAGACACTGTGGAGGGGCAGCGTTCATAAGTGTACCCAGTGGTTCCGCCGCCTGCCTTGTAAGCACAAGGTCCCGAGTTCGATCCCAGTACCAAAAAAAAAAAAAAAAAAAAAGTGAACCCCAAATTTCCAAGCTACACTACTGCATCCTTACTGCATAATAGGTCTTATGGGAGATCCCAGTAAACGGGACTGAACAAAGGAAAGAAGATAGACCTGTCACTCGGACTCTATTGTGAAATAGACTTCATAGTTATTTTCTTAATATAGGTTAGAGATAGTTTATTGGTATTTATAGAAATATAGTTCTTTTAAATTTTGATGTGGTCCCTTGCAAACTTGCTGAAAATTACTTATTAGCTCTAATAATTTTTTATGAATTCCTTAGGATTATCTACAAACAAGACTATATAATTTCTGAATAGAGTTAATTTCACTTCTTGATTTCCCAAATCTGATTTCCTTTGTTTTTTCCTTACCTTATTTTGCTGGCTATGATCTACCAATATAATGTTCAATAGATGTGGCAAGAGGAAACACCTTTGTTGTGTTTCTCAAAAGGAGGGACAAGCTCTGCTTTTCACCTCATAGTGTGATTTTAAATGTGAAGTTTTTGTAGATATTGTATTAGTTTTCCATTTGGTACGGAATACACAACACCCATGGATTAAAGGAGGAGCTTTATTTTTTGGCTCATGTTTTCAGAGGATTCAGTCCATTACTAGTCTGGCTCCAAGGCAGAAACATCTTGGCCAAAGAATGTGGCATAACAAAGCTGGTGGGTTTATGCTGTCCAGGAAGCAGAGCGGGGGAACAGTGGCACAGTAGATGGAGTCAGGGACCATATGCAGTATAGTACCCGAGGTTATACAACAGTGACCCACTTAGACACACCTAGAAGTGTGCTTTAATCAAACTGACAGCTAAGATTAACTGTCAAAGATACCATTTATTTCCCTGAAGAGGTTGCCTTCTATTTGCTGTTGATTGAGTTTTTTTTTTTTTTTTTTTTTTTTTTTTTTTTTTGTGTGTGTGTGTGTGTGTGTGTGTGTGTGTGTGTGTGTGTGGTCAAAGTGTTGGATTTACCAAACATGTTTTGTACAAAAAGTAGTCTGTTAACTTTATTTTATCAATATTGTGTACTACAATAAGTGAGTTTAGGGCTGGGATTTAGCTCAGTGGTTCCACCGCCTGCCTCCCAAGTGCAAGGTCCCAAGTTCAATCCTCAGTATCAAAAGAAAAAAAAAAAGTGAGTTTAGTACATTGAATTGCCCTACCTTGCATTAAAAGGATAAGTCTCACCTGTTTATGGCATATTCAGTAATTCCTTTATATTGCTGGATTTAGTTGGCTAGTATGTTGTTGGCAAAGTTGGCATTTTTGATAATAAAGAATACTATTTTGTAATATTATTTGTATTGCTATTTGGTATTAGCATAACACTGGTCTTGTACATGAAAATTGTTCTCTTCTCATTTTGAAATGGTCTATACAAAATTGGTGTTGATTTTTCTTTAAATGCTTGGTAGAATTCATAAGTAAAGCCATCTGTTCATGGTTCTTTAAATTATTATTTTATTCCTGTTTAACTTGGTATACTTGTCAGTCTGTTTAAATTTTTACTTCTCTTTGATTTGCTTTCAGTTGTTTGAATCTTTTCAGATTTTGCCTATTTAAATTTTCTAGTTCATCTGGTCTGTTGGTTATTCACTTGGGCTTCATTTTGCTGCATAATTTTGGTATTTATCATTTTTAGCTTCTGTGTATTTGAGACTTCTCTGCTTTTTAATCAATCTACGTAAAATTTTATATTTTTATTTTTTATGGAACCAACTTTTATTTTCATTTATTTTCTCTTTTACCATTTTCTGTTTTATTAATTCCCATTGTAATTTTTGCCATTCTTTCCTCTGCTTGCTATAAACTTATTAGATTCTCTCTACAATGAAGCTAGACAGTTTGTGTAGTAGGACTGTTAGGTTATTTGGAAGTTTATTTTTTCTTCTTTTTAATATGAGTATAAAGATATTTAAGGCTTTAAGATTTCTTCTAAACTTTGTTTTTTGCTAGGCTGGATAAATATTTTATGCATTGGTTTCTTTCATCTCAAAGTGTTCTAATAGTGGTTTAATATCACTTATGCTTCTATAACTCATTGTCTTTCAGGAATGTGCTGTTTCATGCCCATATTTTGTATATTTCCCAGATTTCCTTATGGTATTTTTTACTAGTTTAATTCAGTTGTCAATTAATATACTTTATGTATTTTTTGGTTTTTAAAAAAATTTTTGATACTTGTAATATGAACTAATACATACATAGTCAGTTCTGGAGCCTATTTTACTGGTCCCTATGAACATGTATATGGTAGTGTTCAATTGAGTAGAGTGCTGAATATATGTTAATTCCAGTAATTTTATACCGCTTATAAAATCTTCTCTTTTCTTACTGATGCCATTTTTCTTCTGTGCATTACTGAAAGTAATAAAATCTTTATTATTGTTGAATTGCCTTTCCTTTTCATTTTGACAACTTTTAATTTATATGTTTTGGTAGTCTGTTATGAGGTCCACATCTATGTATAGTTATATATAAAATGTTATATATTCATTTTTTAAAACAATTATGCTGTTTATATTAGTATAGTTACTCCAGCACAGATTCCACTGTATATTTTTTTCTCATCCATTCTGTTGTATAATCACAGATTTAAATCCAAAGTGTGAATCTGTTTAGTTGGATAATTATTTTTTTATATACTGGGGATTGAACTCAGGCAAGGTGCCTACCTTGTGCTTGTAAGGCAGGCAAAGTGTCACTGAGCCAAATTCCCAGCGTTGGTTGGATAATTTTTAAAATCTAATCTGCCAATTTGTATTTTTTGAAATGATTAATCCATATACATGAATGTATCTAATGATAAGTAAGATTAACTTCCGTTACTATGCTGTTTTATAACAGTTTTTGAATATACATAGTTTGTATTGTACTACTTTAATTCCTTTGTTTTTTTCATTAGAGCTTATAGTTATTAGTGATTATACTGGGAGATTACAATTAATAACCTAATGGTTTTTATTTATTTTATTTTACTTTTTGGTACCTGGTATTGAACTCAGGACCTTGCATTTGCAAGGCAGGCGGCGGCACCACTGAGCTAAATCCTAGGTCCCTAATGTCTTTTAGATAAAAACCAACTCTATGTCCATATAACACAAAAGCTTCTCTTCTGCATAGCTCTTTGTTTCGTTCAGCTTTATGTTCTTACTGATGGACAAATTATAACTATATCCATTGTTTGCTTACCACTAGTTTTAGAAGTATTATATATGCTTGTATAGTAGTATAAGATCTAGCAGAAATGAAAGAAAAGAAAAAGGAAATTACAAATAATTTTAAAATCCTTAAATCCTTTTATATAGTTATGGGATTCTTTTTCCTTTTCTCTTGCAGACCTGACATATTCTCTGGTGTTTTCACTTTAACCCAATCAAAACTCATATTGTGCTTTGTATTGTTTGGTTGGCTCTAGTTTTATTTTCCTTTTCCATATTTAAAACCACAAATCTGATACTACTAACTGATCATTTTGCTCCATTGATGGGTAATGCTGTTATCTCAAATCAGCTTTTCTGTGTTAAGGACCCTTTTTTTTTGCATTTCTTATTTGTGAGAAAAGATAACTCCATATAGTTTTAAATATTAATTTTCTCTTTCCTTTGTATCTGTCCCTTGTCCCACTTTAGTCTGTTAATAGCTGCCTCACTAACTTGAGCCAGATAAGCAGAGAAATGTTAAGTTCTCTAGGCAATTGCTGCTTTAGTAAGAGAAATTCATTAGTCAAGTTACAATCCTAAAAGTACTGTTATTTTGGCTGGGAATATCCCATCATTACATAGTTAATTAGATGTTTTGTGTCTATTCTCAATTACTTTATAAATAATTAAATTAATGTGGCCTCTTTGCCTTTGGATTGCTTTGCATATTTTGTCCAGCTGTGCCTGACCTACAAGCTTATAAAGTATTGGGGATTGGTACATTAGTAGGATTTTTCCTTTGGGTTATGTTCTCAATTTACCTTTCTTTATGTTAATAATATTTGTTGCTGTTAAATACATTACTTTTTTTTGTATCTATTTGTCTACCCATCTTCCAACTGCGGCATTCCTTTCAATCTGTGGACTCTGAATCCGGTAATTCAAATAACTTCAGATAGAAAAATATTTTGAAAATGGCATCTTTACTGGGTATACAGAAATTTTCTTTTTGTCATTTACTAGATAGTCAGTACTTATATAACATAGTTGTTAGGGTTCTCCATAGGAACAGAATCAACAAAAAAATAATAATTGTGCGAAGGTGATTTATTATGCAGACTTACAGGACCAGAGATGGGAGGGTCCACAATGGCTATCTGCCCACTGGAAAACAGAGGATGCAGTAGCTGCTCAGTCCAAGAAACTGCAAGCCCAGAACAAGAAGGACCAAGAATGCAGTACCATTCCCAGACTTGAAAGCTTCCTGGAGTGTTGCGGGTATAAGTCCAGTTGAACAGATGAAGAAGCTAGAGTGTGATATCTGCAGACAATGACAGTTGCAAAAGATGCACCAATTGAAACAGAGGACTTTTTCAGATACAGACTGATTTCTTCCTTCTTCTTTCATTCCCTTTGGACTTCAAATATG